TCTGCTGCTCGTAACATATAATGGAGATGAAAGAGAACAGGCAGAGACGGAAGCAAGACAACAGTATGCCAAGGAAGACTTCATGCTCGTTGCAGAGCACAACTTGCAGCGCAGAGAAGCACTGCCTTGTAAGAAGTCAAGCCCAGGTGATTGCAGCGACAGGGCCCTCTAGCGCATGGACGGTCACTCCATGGCGAAGCTCCTAGCGCGGGGAGATCCGGCGTAGTGGGTCCATGCAGCCGTAGACTGCGATTCTTCAGGTGCAAACCCGCCCAAAAAAATCCAGCGTCAAGCAGCAGACGGTCGCCCAATGAGACCAACTACACCACCGACATAGACCGCCCGCCATGTTCGCCCAACCACGAGTAAAAAAAAGCACACTGCCGCCTCCTAAGAAGAGGAAAGCGGTCTCTGCTGTTGAGGAAGTTAACTTTGACTTCGACCAACGCGAGGACTACCTGACGGGGTTCCACAAGCGGAAGCAACAGCGCATCAAGCTTGCGCAAGAACAGGCGGCCAAGAAGGAGCGAGAGGAGAAAATCGAAATCAGGAAACAAGTAAGAACGCAATGCACCATATTGCTCAAACGTGTGTATTCTGACATTGGCCGGTATAGGTTAGGGACGACCGCAAGCGCGAAGTAGAGGACCATGTGAACACCGTCAACAAGCTTTTGCGTGAGGCGCAAGCAGCAGATTCAGGCGACGATCAAGAAATCAACGGAGAAGACTTCGAGGAGTGGGATGGCATTGAGGAGAAACAGTCTGAGGTCATAGACTTCGAGGACGAGTACATCGACGAGGACCGCTTCACGACAGTCAAGGTTGAGGCCATCGCAGTAACAAGGGACGGTTTCGAGAAACTGCACGATAACGACGACTCGGAAGACGAAAAGAAAGAGGAGGACGAAGATTCGGAGAAGAAGGCCGCAGAGGAGAAGAAGACTCCCAAGGCGCGCAAGGAGTGGCCAAAGAAGAAGGCGAAGTTCCGATATGAACAAAAGTTCGACCGCCGCATCGAAGAGAGGAAACAGAAGGCTAAGAAGAAGGCGAAATACAAAGGCAAGGAATGATTTTGCCTTCGACATCGTAATGATCTCCCGACCACACGCAGCAGCTGTTGATGCCTGGCCTGCCTAAGCTTCCGCATAGAAATAATGGATACCCCCGGCTGCCTCACGCCTCGGCCTCTCTAGGTCATATAACTGTGAAAAGCACAACTGGACGCCCATTTCGCAAAGTGCTATGCTATTGCAGATTTGGAAATCGGACACAACAGTTTGTCCGTCGCTGCGGCTCCTGAAGGTTCTCATATGACTGTAAGTCCATGCCGTCACCGTACAACGTCCGCCGCAGGCTCTACCATCAAAAGAGCATACACGCAGCAGTAACGTCAATCCCAACAACTTGAATTAGATGTTGCCAATCTCGTTCTGAAGCTCTTCGAGGTCCTTCTTGAGTTCCGTGTACTTCTTCGACATCTCCTCGTACTTGGCCTCCCACTGGTCACGCTCGACCTCAAGAGCCTGCACCTTGCGCTCAAAGTGGCCAGCCTTGACGTCGGTCTGGCGAAGCCTGTCATTTTTCGTTAGTGGGTATTCCTCTCTATACTCTGTAGGAGCGTTATCGCAGCGTACTTCTCGTTGGCCTCGCGAAGAGTCTTGTCGGCATCTTCGGCCTCCTCCTCAAGAAGCTGGAGCCTCCGCTGCAGGGTCTCGTTCTGAGTGCCGGTAGTTGTGCTCTCGTCGGCAGCCTTCTTGTGATCCTTAACACTGCTCTCAAGCTTCTCGACTTCGGCCTCGAGAAGACCGTTCTTGTGCTGCAGCGAGGTGATTTCCTGCTCCTTGGACAGGTTCTCCTGCTCGAGAACCTTGACCTTGGACTGGAGCTCCTCAACCTTGGAGGATGCCTCGTCAGCCTCCAGGCGAAGCTGGTTCATTTTCTATGCGCGAAAAGAAATGTCAGCACCGCAACTCGATATAGGGGGGTTTTACCCCTCCAGGACAACCAGTGCTAGTGGGGCATCCCCAAAGATAGCGGGAAGCGTACCTCCTTGATGCGGTCCATGATGTCGGTTTCTGAGGTGCGTAGAGTAGCGATGAAAGTAAAAACGAGGCTTTGGCAGCAAGTGTTGCGTCGTAGAGGAAGACCTTGGGTTGATGGATGGCTAGGTTGGTAAAGGTGGTGAAGGGGCAGTGGGAGGAAATAACGAAGCACCCCCTCTATGTGCACAGGGCCCCGGTACTGCAGAGCTGTGAGCCAGTCCTCTGACATGGTGGCCGTGCACCAACAGATCTAGGCAGGGGAATGGTGGGGATGATCAGGCGGGGCGGCTTGAGCTGTGTGTGGCCTTGGCTGGTCGCGCACCGCCAACAGTCGCCTACAAGGCTCCTGCTCGGTTAGTTGTCCCGACAACCAGCCCAAAACACATGTTGCCAATTCCTCGCCTCCTATCTGGCTAACAACCAACCGTCCAACAAACATCCAACAACGCAGACCCTGTCCGAGTATCATTCAATTACAATCGCGGAACAACACCTGCGCCAAACGTGCCGCAAGGCTCAACAAAATGCTCGCTCTTCGTGATGAGAACGCGGTCAATGCGGCCCAGACGATCCGGCAGGCTCAAGGAAAGGGGCATTTGGCCCCTAAGACGCCTGGAGCCCGGTACCCGAAGACGCCTTCAGGACATCACGATGAAAACGCCGTTGGTGGAAAGACTATTCTCGGAAAGACGAAGGGCACAATCAATCAGCCAGCTCGTCAGAGACTTGTCACACCTTCAGGTATGGCTCAGCTACTTCTAGCGTGTCGCACTGCTTGAAAGCAAACTAACGCAGCACATCAGGCACACAGGCACGCGCTCCTCTTGGAAACAAAACCACCAATGCGAAAGCGAAAAACGGACAAGTACAAGGTGTGAAGAGCATTGTAAAGGAGTTCGAGAAGACCGACGCCAAACAAAACACAATCAAGAAGCCGAAGAATAAGGGCCCGGCAGGTGACCCTCTGAAGGTTGCCGTTCACATCGACCTGGATGGGGACGAACATGAGATTGAGCATGCCCCGCTGCGGGTTAAAGACCTGCCTTACGAGTCGGATGTATTCCCCGAAGGCGGTCTGAACTTCGACGGTCTCAAGAAGGAAAACATGTTCAAGGGCTACTACAGCCATTTCTACAACCCTCTCGGCGAAGATGGCCTCAGATTCGAGGACCGCAAGCACGAAGAGCGGATGCAGAAAGCTCTCAAGCAGAACGACGAGGAAATTCTTCACGACATCGACTCGATGGACTGGTCCGTCTCGGATGTCCCGGAAACCAGGAAACTTGTTCAAAAGAAGACAGCACCAGTGGCCAACCTGACGAAGACAAACGCCAAGCCTTCGGCCAAGTATCCAGCCACAATCAACTCGCGCAGAGCTGCTTCAGCTTTGTCCATGACTAACGGCTCGATGGTGAGGGCAAAGAAGTTGCCCGACGTCCCCGTTCGAAGGCCCATCTCTTCACTGCTGCCCGGTAAAAGAGTCGCCAAAGCACCCACAGCGCCGTCCAAGTCGGTGGCGGCAGAGAGCGCTGTCGGGGAGGCTGCCTCAAGAAGCACTCTTGGTTACACCAAGGGCCGGTCCGCTTCCTCGCTGATCAGTGGTCGAGCTCCTATGCCCGGAACGGTCACTGAGACGGCTAGAACCAACCCACCGACCTCAGTGTCTGCATTGACTGTACGACGAGATCCCGTTCCGCAGAAGCAACAAACCACCGAAGAAGAGCAGCAGTCTCTCCAGCGCCTTCAGTTCCTCTCCATCTTCGAGCCCGAGGACGACATCGATGTTGTTGGGTCTGCTCCTCAATTTGATACTGAAGAGGACGAAGAGTTTGAGTTGAAGATGGAGTAACGAGTTAATGATATACCTAATGGTCTGGGCTTTCTATGTCAAACCGGCTTGGACAAAATCGATATCATAACTGCGCAGACTGGGATCAAAACAGTGTATCAATAGCGAAAGCTTCTTTTAGGTTCTAATGAATGAATGAGACATGGCCATATCAGATTCCAAGTTTAATTATAGGCAGCATCGGCTCGGTGCATGGGACTTGATTTTTGGTCCAAGAACCTTTGTCGGCGTTGCCGCCATTAGGAGCCTATTGTATCGGACGTAGCATGAGCGAAGATGTGCATGCCCGAAGCAGAGAGGGGAACTGCGAAGCTGGGAAAGAAAAGCTCCGGAGAATTGGAGGGACTATCAACGATATCGCGAGACGGTAGCCGTTATGGACCTGGCACCAAACCAGACACAGATATCGAGACTGCGACAGACACTGACTGCCATGCACATGCATGATTGTATGCCTGAAGATCCAGATACCCAGGGGACAGTGGCCCCAACCTCCTCAAAACGCGAGCTTGCAGGAGAGTCGCGAAAATGCGCGGCAGTGCGCGACAGATGGTGGAGTCCAATTAAGTTCCTAGCCCATCACGTGCAGCCCGGCTGACTGTGCGATCCTCTGAAGACTTGAGTCTGGCGTACCATTGCCGCTAATGACGCTCGAAAGTTACCGGCCAACCAGGTACCGCTCTGAGCCTCCACCCAAGCACTGGAATTGAGGTGGGTGGTCGGCGCTTCGCCATTCCTTGCTCCGTGGCCATCCCTGAAAGACTTTGGACAACACTGCTTTGGCTTTCGTCTTTGGTCTATCGCTCACGTCGCCGATTCAATCCATCAACGCGCAACGGATCGTGCGACAAAGTCCAATAGCCCCATCTCTTTCCATCAAACCTGCGCTTCCCTTGACGCGACAAACACAATCCGACATCTCATACTTCCTGCCAGCTTGCTTGGGCACCCTTGGCCGGTCGCGTGAACATACCCCCAACACAATATCATTCACGATACAGCCTGTCGCGCATTCCACCCATACGCATGGTGCCCTTCTACGAGTATCATTCGAGAGCTAGGATGCTCGGAGGCTGGGCGAGGAGGTAGAAGCAGCAATCCTTCACGATGACTCGCCAGTCCAGCGCGGGTTTCGCGCAGTTCTTCCCAACTGCCCCGCGGGCAGCCAGGGAGAAGGCTACAGAGCGCGAGAAAGCGAGGCTAAGGACGCAAGAGACGGCTGGCTCGTTGCTTGCCTCACAACCTGTCGTCCTTGCTGCTCCTGCCGATGGCCTAAACGGCCAAGCCGCTCCTACAGACGCAATCCTGGTGAACGGGTCGCATCACCAAGCAGAGGACCACGGGTCTCCTCTTGGCGATATCCTGACCGCTGTTGGCTCTGCAAGCTCCCACGCAAGCACAGGTTCATCCATATTCAGCGCAACGACGCGGCAGCCCCTTGCCAACGGCTTGTCTCAAAATGCAGCGGCAAGCACCGTCACCCCGCTCACTTCAATTGAGTCGCCCTCAGTCTCTGGTCATACACACCCACCGAAGCCGACCACATCCAACTCCCATATTCCCGACCATCAGCAGTCGTCCACGGCTCACCAGAGCCCAGCCCATATGCCGAATGGCTCATCAGAATCATACCCTGCCATTGATCGCGTTCCCGCGCGTGCCCCCGGTCGATCGCGAAAAGGTGTCAAATGCATCTATGACCCGTTACTCGATAAGACACTTTCGAAGGACAAGATCAGGGCCGCCAAGCCCACGTTCAAAGAGTTTGGAATGGTACGTTCATCTATACTATACTATACCCACCTTGAAGGGGGGGCGTCATTTGAAGAGCGACTTGAGGCTAATGAGATGAGAGTAGGATGATGATGACGCCCCCCCTTCAGATCCTCGCCTAGCTATGGGTGGGCGATTGAATTACATGAACACCGACTTCCGTCACCACAAGTCTCGCCTCAGGCCCGCCGCGTACAACTTGAAACCGTATCCTTTTGAGCCCAAGACCTCCGTCGGCCCGGGCCCGCCAACACAGATCGTCGTGATGGGGTTTCAACCCGCTCATCAACTTTCAGAAGGTCTGCAGGCGTTTGCAACTTTTGGCGACATTGCCGAGAAGCAGCAATAAAATGCACCCCGAGACAGGAAGCTATCTCGGGTTCGCAACATTTCGTTACCGGGACTCACAGCCCAGCCGATCCAGGCCTATGGCTATCAAAGCGATTGACGCTGCTCGGCGCGCCCTGAGGACTATGAATGGTCAACGCATCGAGAGCAACAACATCAAGGTTGAATACGATCCCAATGGCAAAAAGAGTGGCCGTATGCTTGAGGAAACTGTCAATAGGGACAGATCTACCCCAAACCCGTCAAATGTTCGACCTCCACCAGCTGGGCCCAGAACAACAGCGCCAGAGCCGGCACACGGCCCACCGCCGATGGCGCCTCGAGGACCTGCGGCGCATAGGCAAACTGCGACGCCAGTGCCTACCGGCCCTGGCAGACCAATTCAACCGATCAAACAACACAGCATTGTAGAGGATAAGCCGATAGCACCACAGCTAGCTGGCGAGCCCTACATTTTCGTTCCAAGTGCTAAGGTTCCAGTCATGCATACAACTGTTCCACACATGAAGAAGAGACTCAAGGCACACTGTTTTGACGACATTCGCGTTGACCGAACGGGCTACTACATCGTCTTTCCAAGTTCATCCATGGGCCGATCTGAAGCAGAGCGATGCTTCAGAAATGTCCATAGAACCGAATTTTTCAACTACGAGTTTTACATGACGCTATGTTTGCCCCCGCTCATGGACGACAAGACCGAAACTATGGCTCACGCTCCACGTCGACGAACTCCAAGCCCCGATCGCAAGCGAAAACAAGAAGTGCGGAACAGGGAGGATAACGACCGACGACGCCAGGAGGAAAAGAACGACCTGGAGGAGGAGAAGCGCCAAAGGGCCAAGAATTTCGATCCTGTGCAAGCAGCTCGGGAGGTCATTAGCCATGAACTGGCGGAGCACTTGATCAAGCACATTCGTACGCGGGTAGCAGCACCTGCCCTCACGGCGTTCCTTGACCCCAAGAACCATATTGCGAGACGACGGCAGCTTAATCTCGAGGACCCCATCGAGTCGACGCCCTCGCGCAAGACTGCACCGGGCAACGAAAGCCCACAGGTCGGCACCCCGAATTCGGGTGCCGATCCTATCGAGAAGCGCACCGGCCGCCTCGAAATATCGGCCCTGCCGCGTATTCGCAAAATCAAGAATCCAGGACAGGCGCAGCAGAGGAACTACGGCTTCACCGATCCCTTTGCCCGGAAACGACCGCCGCAAGCGCGAAACGCCTTCCGCTCCCTACACCACCGACTCAAAAGCTACGACAGTGATGTCGAATCAGATGACGAAGGTAGGAGATCTGTGGCTCGGGAAACTGAGGAGCCCGAATCTCGTCCTCGCAGCCGTATGAGTACGGATGATGAAGACGACGAAGCGTCGAAGGATGAGCTTGGCTCGTGGGGAGCTGCTGAAGAAGACTCCATGACCGAAGCCAGCTTCGCAATTGGAACGCTACCCACAAAGAAGCGGAAGCTCGAGCTCGAGGCGCAAACTGCTCTGAAGCGACAGAAGAAGTCCGATGAGGAGCTTTTCGGCGTCACTCTCGACCACATCGAGACTGAGCTTCCTGTGCAACCCGTGTCGGAGGGTGTCACGCCCGAATGCGATCTTCCCGGTGGTAAAGAAGAGAGTCTATCTCGTTCCGAGACACCTAGCCTTTTGGCCGGTAAGCTGCTGTCTAAGAAGATCAAATCGAAGAGGAAATCCAAGAAGCAGCTCTTCGAAGAACGCGAGGCGCTCAAGAAGCATCAGTCTGATATTGAAGGATCCGAAGCACCCGAAGACCGAGAAACGCCTGCTGCTGAGGACCCCAAGAAATCGGAACCCATCGAGGAGGAGGCCTATCAACCAGCTGCTGTACCGACGGACCTTAGTTTGTTCGCCTACGAGCCCACGAAGGCACTGCAACTTTCGCAAGATCCGAGCGCTGGCCTCGGACCGCTGCAAGATGTGGAGTTCTCCCCCGCAGATCTTCCCGACTTTGTCAAACTGCAGAAAAGGTTCCCTGTGGCTGATTTCGACGATCCTCTGCTGTGGCTATGGAGGCGAAACCGCGTGCGGGAGGTCAACAACCTGGATCAGTCGGCTGAAAAGAGCCTTGCGATTGAAGGGTACTACGTCCCCAATCCTACAGGTTGCGCCAGAACGGAGCCTATCAAGAAGATTCTCAATTCAGAGAAGTCCAAATACCTACCTCATCACATCAAGGTCCAGAAGGCCAGGGAGGCAAGAGAAGCTCGGGTACAGAAGGACGGCAAGGCTGCGCCCATAACTGCTCCTGCCCCTGCCCCTACGAAGGGCAACTCGCGAGCCAACCGTGCCAACAACCGCAGACACGTCACGGCACTGCAAGACGAGATGAAGTCCTCGGGCGATCCCGACGTTTTCAAGTTCAACCAACTGAAGAAGCGCAAGAAACCAGTCAAGTTTGCCCGTTCTGCGATCCACAACTGGGGTCTCTACACAGAGGAGAACATCAACAAGGACGACATGATCATTGAGTATGTCGGCGAGCAAGTCCGGCAACAGATATCAGAAATTCGCGAAGTCAGGTACCTCAAGCAGGGCATGGGCAGCAGCTATCTATTCCGCATTGACGAGAACACGGTCATCGACGCTACGAAGAAGGGCGGCATTGCCCGGTTCATCAACCACAGCTGTATGCCCAACTGTACCGCCAAGATTATCAAAGTGGATGGCAGCAAGCGCATTGTCATCTATGCGCTTCGCGATATTGCACGAAGTAAGTCAAACCCTCCACAGCCTACATTGGGTATCCTCGTATGCTAACAAGATTTGCAGCTGAGGAGTTGACCTACGATTACAAATTTGAGCGAGAGATCGGCAGCCTGGATCGCATTCCGTGCCTTTGCGGAACGGCTCTATGCAAAGGCTTCCTCAACTGATGGCCGATATGGTGTGACATGTGCTTTCGTTCCGTCGGGTGGGGCATTTTGTGCTTTCAAGGCCCGGGTTGCGTTGTTTTCACCTGCCTGCTCTGCTCTATATACGCAGGGTGCCCGGGACGTAAGGGGAACTTGGAGGGAACAACAAAAAAGCGGTGTACAATGACATTCGACATGCGCCGGGGGGGAGCATTCGGGCGTTTTGGGGTCCTTTTTTATTCTTGTTTTCCAAAGAAATGCAGGCGATGGAGAGGCCTGTGCGAGGCGGGGTGTACTCCTCACATGGCGTCAACCGCCACGTTTCTTTCCTCTCGACTAGGCAGAAAGATGCCTACACCGATAATATGGGCGGCAGTGATCGCTACCAGTGTACATATAAGAGGGCGGGGCTTCTCGCGGCGCACGCTGGGGATGAGAGGCCCATTTTGCGGACGCGGACCAGGCTGACGTAGAGAGATGCCGTGGTGGTAGCTGGCAGAGGGCCGGCCAGTTGCATGCTGGGGCATGAGATAGTGAATACCCCGTGTCAGGATGAGTTGAAAGTCTTCTCCGTGGCTTAGCGTGCAGTGCCTGTGACTGTTTCCGTATCCGTTCGCACGTCTGTCTCGGCTCTCGTCACCGGGGTATGCCTCGTTGGCCAACAGACTCGTGTCTTTCTGCTTCAGCCTGCGCTTTGAGGGCAGAGTTACGAACGAAGGAGCTCAGGGGGTAGAGGGGCCCGCTGAAGTCCATGTCATACCAGTAGTTGACGGCGAGGACAAACCCCTCGTCCTCGGGGGTGCAGAACTGCGAGACCTTGTGGTACCACATGGCAGGCAGGTAGAGCATGTCGCCGGGCTCGAGCACAACGATCATGGGCCGCGCGAGGTGCGAGTAGGGCGTCGCATTCGCGTCGGGGCGGTCCGGGTCCCAGGTGGCGAAGGGGACATCTTCGGTGCCGTCACCATCAGGTTCGAGGACGAGGATGCCGTCGTTATTGTTGTCGGCTTCGGCGCCGGCGCCGCGGCGGCGGTAGGTGGCCGAGCGGAGCGGTCGCTCGTTGACGCAGGGGTGGCAGTGCGGGGGCAGCAGGGCGAAGCGCTTGCGGCCGCGGAGCTGGACGTAGAGGTTCTCGTAGTTGTCCTTGTGGAGGGCCGTCGTGGCGCGGGCGTTGCCGATCCAGAGGTTGAGGGCGTCTGGCTGTGGCTGGTCGAGGGCGATGCGGGCAAAGGGCAGGGAGCGGGGCAAGTGGTCGAGGTGGAAGAGAGGGGCGTACTCGGTGTGGAGGTTCGAGTTTTGGGTCTGGGCGTAGAGGACCTCGGGCGAGACGGCGGTCGGTCGCGAGGAAGAGAGGTCCTCGGCGGTTTGGGCGATGATGGTGTTGAGAAAGGTGTCGAAGCGCTGAGGCTCCTCGTGAGGTTTTGAGAGTGAGAGGATGCCGTTGGGAAGTGGCGTGGGTGCGTCGGCGTTCCTGGAGATCTTGTCAGTGACCACTCGCTTATCTGTCAAGGCTCGGTCACATAGAGGGGCCTACCCGTGTGGAGTGACGGCGACGTTGACGGACTGGTCTTCCAGTGTTTTCAGGAGGAAGTCTTTATCCCATCTCTTGTATGCCTCCCACGATATGGCAGCGTTGCGGACGACGAAGGGGGTGTTCCGGGCAACATATCTCATGAACTCCAGAGCGCTGGGCTCATCAGCAAGCTCCTCGATACGGCTGCTGTTGAGCTCATTGTAGGTCGTGATGAGATCAGCTATGTTATCTTCCGGCAACGCGCCCATGTCCGTGAGTTGTGGGGTAGGTTGACCTGTTGGCGGAATGTTGTTAGTCGAAGCTGTTCTGTGAAATGTTCTGATGTTCTTGCCCGATATGGGTGCATTTGTGGTGTGGGGCCATTCTAACCTCATCATTTCACGCCCAATTGCTGTCGCTCCCTCTACGATGGCAATCCTCAACCTCATGGCACACAATCAGTCGTGTCAAAATTCGAACGTTCAAGAACACGATGCGTTTAGACACACATCTGCGTTCATCCTGCGATGGGACACTACTCAACCCGAGACGGCCCTTTTCACATCGTCCTGACTGACTTCACATTCTCGTCCCGGACCTAGTCCAACACAAGGCAACGAGCCGAACAAGCAAATAGTGGCTAAATGATAATGATATCCTAGGATTTGAATCCATTCGACCAGCATATACGCTTCATGAACTCATCTATGATAAACCTGCTGCGTTATCTTTGACAGACTCTTCCAAGCTCCTGAACCCTTGGCCGAACGTCTCTCTCAACAGGCTGTCTGCCCTCTGGGTTGGTACGAAGGTGCAAAGATCCCGAGAGTCATCTGGAAATGCTCCCCAGTTTCTATCTCCGTATAGTTTGCGCAGTATGTCAATGATACTGTTTATGTTGAAGGGCCCCGCAACGGCGAAAAGTCGTTCTTTCTGAACCTCGGGATGAGCCAGTGCAATGACATGAAGGCGTGCATCATCCTGTACATGGACATAGTGCTGAGGCAGGATATGCTCCAGTCCCTTGTAGTCTTTGTCCCAGACTTTCTTAACCCACCCGGCTGTGGTTGGGTAGCCCTGGTGGGCAGCGCTGAGCACTGGGCCAATGTTCGCATTAGGCTGGACTGGATGCCACCGAGGTCAGTCGCACGTGTCTTTCCAAGCTATCGGATAGGAAGGGCATACTTGTATTGACGGTCAATGAAGGATTGTTCTCCTCGACCCACTTGGCGATGGCTCGCTCTGCTTCCACTTTGCTGCATGCATACACAGATGCGCCGTCCGGATCTGGTTGCCACGCGCGCTCCACAGCTTCGTCGTTAAACGTGTCTGCCGTGACAGAAAAGCGTTTTCCTGGTTTGGGCAACGTCACCGCAAAGGAAGACGAAGTGAAGACGAATCTCTTCATGCGCGGCTCTTTGGCTGATGCCTTGAGCGCGTTGAGGGCACCATCAACAGCCCGAGGTATGGCGACTTTGGGGTCTGCCACTCCTGTCATGTCATTTGCCACATGAATGAAACCAGACGCTCCTGTTGACGCCCGAGAATGTTATCAGTGTCACGGGAGCGCACAGGTGTGGGTTCGTACCTGCAACGGCATCGTCAAAAGCACCATCGACATCCATGTCTGGTACCTGAACGAGCTCGAATTTCTCCGTCCCATACTGCTTTGCGAAGAAGTCGCTCATCCACGCACTCCTTTGCAGGTTTCGGGTAGTGCCTCGGACCTTGTAGCCTGCGGCAAGCACCTGGTCTACGATGTGAGATCCAATGAAGCCACTGGCTCCAGAAACGACAACAATGCTGCCGTACGGCACGGCTGGCTCCTTGATACTGGGAATGCCCATGGTTGACTTCAAGGTCGATTTGGTTTTGGAGGGTTGAAAGAGCTCAGGATTGGTGAAGTTATGGTGGTTAAGATTGGAAAAGAACGTTAAGGAAATCCAGCTCGAATACATGACTGCACAATGATCAAAGACGCCGATCAGGTACAGTCTATGACACAATATGTGACCGGTGATCCTCGCGGGCTGCAGGACAACCCCGCTATCCCTATTGGGCAAGAAACCACTAAATACCGTCGTCGTCTTGTTTATGAAATCTGGAGGCGTCGACCCTAAATAAGGGTTGGCTCTATCGTGTTATTGTCACCGGGGGAAGTATCTTGTTGAATCTGTTGTCATTGTATGGCGTATCGGGAGGCTTGGGAGGTAACATATCAGCTCCACAGCCTCGTATGCCGGCTGCTTCCTGTCACAAGCAAGCACACCTTCAGGGGACACTGCCGATCTCCTCAAAGCTGTTCCGACAAGGTGATATGTTAAGGAGGAAGGAGGGATCCAATTCTGGCAGGCAGGCAGGCAGGCAGGCAGGCAGGCAGCCGGGCAGGCAGGTAGCCGGGCAGGCAGCCGGGCAGGCACCATGGAGCTGGGTATCATCATGACTTCTGGTGCTGCCAGAGGTGGATAGCCCAACCCTAGGGAACCCTGGCTCCAATCTACCTTACCTGCCCGCCTATCGTACCTCAAATAGGACCCTGCTTACCCGGCACGCATCGTTTGACGCGGCAAACACGGTCGAAACGACAATGGAACATTCGGCATGTCCCAATCCATGGGAACCAACCACAGTCAGCGACTGCATGTGTCCGTTTTCGCTTACACCGATCACAGGGTCTGGCGTGTTGGGGTCCTTGCGGCACGCCGGCCCACCAATCAGACCGTGGCACTCTGTGGGAAATGGCCTGACTTCTGAGCGGGCTCAGCTGATTATGATGATGCTCGAAGACATGCCATTTCACGAGAAGTCAGAATTGGGGCCTGGAACATGTGGCATCCCGTACGTGAGTGCAGATGCCATTCAGAAAAGGCGCTGATCGAAACGTGGCAATCCTGATTAGATGGCCGTGTTCGGGAGCCCAGGGAACATATAACGAACCCGTCCCTCCCACCTTTTTGATAAGGCGTCCGTCGAATTGCTGTGATCTTCCACTCCCTGGAGCCGACCTCTGTTTTTTCGACCTCTCACTTGTTGCTTGTGAGACAGCGTGCAAAGCAGACACCAACGAACGAACTGCCGACCACCGAGTCCTGGACACGGAGGCACCTCGATCGAAACGTCCACCACAGGGTCTATCCCCTCCTCGAAAAGGAACAGCCAAGCCAAGCCACGATTTGCGCAGCAAACATGACGGGCAAGGCTTCCATTGGTCTTGCTCAGCGGCCCTCTCGTGTGTTTGGGGTTGGATG